TTAAATATATATATATAAAAAATGTTACCTAAAGGTAAGGTGGTATTATGTGGAGGATAAAGCAACTCAGAAATTAATCTTTTAATCCCTTTTTTTAATGGGGAAGCACATATTTGACAAACTAACCAAGGCACAGAGAAGTCAAGCACTTTCTCCAAGGTCACACAGCTTTTAGTGGCAGTACCAAGACCAGAAACTGGGTTTGGACTATTACAAATACGTTTTCTGTCTAATGAACCATGGCACATTAGAAGTATAAGGAATGCCAAACTGAGAATCTACCTTTGGTATCATTTAAAAAAAAAAAATCAACCTTTCAAATCATTAAATGAAAATGCCAATGTTCTTCAAAGAAAGAAAGTATACAGAATATACGTTCTTCGTGAGGACATATGAAACTGCATATGTGCAGATGGAAAGCCACTATGCACATTTATTATTCATTTAGGACATAAAGGAATGCTATAAAAGCTGACTGTAGCTCTTCCGGCAAAAAGCAGGATTTATTACAGACTTTATAATTGGATACAAGCATGAGAGGTCCTCAAAATCAAAGATGAGCCAGTAGGATATAGTTTAAATAGAGCCTCTCTGACCACAGCTCCAGAGAGCCCAAAGCAATTTGTGGTATTGTGGCCACATGCCACTACTTCAAGTCAATTTCCCACAACTTGGCATTTCAGTTTCCTGACCACTATCCAAAACAAGGGTGGATTTTGTGCATTAAACTTCCCTTGCTTCATCATAGCTAGGTTTCTGAAGAGAGATAAAAAGGGGTGCATAAAAATAAGTGGGGATTTAGAGCTGATGATTTTGTGTATTGTTGAAGTATTGATGATGAGAAGTGTCAAACAACCAAGTCCCATCTTGGCTCCAGTGTTTTTGGGACAGTCTGGCTCAGTCTTGTTAGGATCGGGATCAAGAATGTCCCAGGTACAGATTCTAGGGCCAATTTCTAATACTTATCAAATACACACACATATACATATATGCATATACATGTATCTAAATAAAGAGGTGTGTGTGTGTGTGTGTGTTCTTTGTGTATGTAGAGAGAGAGGCAAAAAGAGAGACCAGCTTAGCTCTAATTTATGGGATCAAATCTAATCCTGACAGATCAAATTGTAGTAGAAGTTATAAATCATACTTCTTATCTTACAATGGACTAGCATCACCTACTATATTTTAACTCCTTTATGAATGTACTTATAGTTACTAATAATAATAGGAAAAGCTAATATTCATTAAGCTTTTATAATGTGTTAGGAATTCTTAGAGCTTTATAGGCATGTATTCACTCCTCATACAATCCTATGAGGTAGAACTATAATTTTCTTCATTTTTAAAATGAGGGAACTGAGGCACTAGAAGACGAAGTTACTTGCCCAAGATTATGGAGCTAGTAAGTGGTAGAACAGGACCTGAATCCATGTATCTATAGAGCCAGCCTAGTGGCAAAGAGGCACCCCCTCTATAGATCTCCCCAATGTTCTTCCTTTTCTTACTCAAAATTAACCAATTCTAATTGATCAGGTTACATGAGATTATATTGTAGTCCATGTCTTACAGAGAAAAACATTTCTAAGAAACCAAATCAAATCAAGAAGAAAATGAACCACATTTATTATAATTTGAAAACATAAAAGTTAAACAGATTAAACAGCTAAGCTGTCCCATTTGAAACAGATGTCGCAAATCATAAGCAGTTAAGAGCAAGATATCTATTGCACTGCTGAAATTTTAAAACAAACAAAAATGATTACTGGAAACAAAGGTTTGGATGAAATTATTTCATTAAAATATAAACTCTCATCTTACCTCACATATAAGGAAATGGGTACAACTGTATTGAGAATAATAATATATGACCAGAATGTTAAGAATCCGGAGAACACAGAGCTCTTCTCTCCTTCATTCCAAAAGAGGAAAGTTCTAAATTGGTCCCCAATTTGACTCTCCCAGATTGAATTTCCTATTGCAAGAATAATTCCCAAGCATATCAGAAACCCAAAAATCTGAAATAAGATAGAAGTCTGGTTAAGGTTAACTTGAACCCAAAATTAGTCATATCAACATGATCTAATTATGCATCTAACTTTAAGAAATAGTCATTTGAAAAGCAAGTATGCAAACCTCTTCTTACCATTAGTCATATGAATAAAATTTCAAATTTTTATGTCAGGAACTCAGCTAAATATTTTACATACATTTTCTCACTGAATCTGCCCATTGACGCTCTAAGATGGGAACAGTCATTATTCCCACTTTACGGTTTAAAAACAAAGTAAAATAGAAGCACCATAAAGACTATGTAACTTGTCTATGTTCACATAGTTAACAACTTCATATCCTCAATTTGTGGTAAGTAGGTATATTTAGGTGGCTTAATTAAAGGAGACCATATGCGCTGATTTGTCCTGGATGGCCCCAGTTTACAACCATTGTCCAGATGTAATAGTAATCATGTTGCATTTCACCTTCAAAAGTGTCCTGTTTGGATGATAAATTATATGGCCACCCAAGGCATAAATGCAAAAGAAAATATCAGTGATAAAGAACAATTTCAGACTAACCAAGTCTCTTGGCTATAGATCTGGCTACACAATCCTTACTTGAGGTCAACAAGAAATGTAAGGATAACTAAAATACTTCATGACATGTATACTTTACTTTTAGGATATAAATGTGGGAAGCAACTTGAAAACCATTAGCAGACACTTACATTGTTATTAGTAACAGAATTAGAAAAACACATATTTGTAGGTATAACAACTAGAGAGACAACAAGGTCAATCTACAGTGAGTCTAAAACCCTTCCTGGGAAAGGAAAGGCCACAGACTCAGTGAACATGGTTAAGACCTGAGTTGAAGAAGATGTTGCGGAGACTTTGTTCAGCTGAGTGTCACACTATGTTGGGAGCTGAGACCAGCCAATGTTGAGGGAAGAGTAGGGCTAGAGAACAGAAATGGATTTTCCTCTATTTCCTTTTTCTTCCAAGAAAGAATATTCAGAAATTCTAGAGCTGCTTTCTTCCTTATTCCATAATATGGGCATGTAAGAATAGGTGTATAAGAAGAAAAGATTGGGAAAAGTCTGATTTAAAGTATATTAGAAAACCATATATGAGAGAAAAGTAGGACTGTGAATCCCCAAAACTTCTATGACTTTGGTACCTATATTATAGTATCCTCTTTAATGGCTGAGACTACAAATTAATTAAACATGACTTTAGAGCATTAAAATTTAATGTAAAATACATTAAATGCCATAATTTAAGAATTGATTTGGCTTATAACTCCCCAATGGATCATCCTATTTTCTAGCATGAAAGATAAGGTCAGTTTGCTCTGTGGTGGGTAGACACACCCTGCATGCCCTGAAGTGGAGTCAGGGTTATTTAAATGAGAAATTCCTTGGGGGCAGAAGGGTAACAAACCCTTATGGGCATGTCTTCTTGGTCTCATAGGCTCTGTATGAAGGTGACTGGAGAAAATCCCAGGTCTGCAGGTGATACTGAAAGTAAAACACAAAACCTGGCCAATATTTTGTGCACAGCAAGTGCTAATTTCCTTCTTTCCTTATTCAGAGTACAACTATTACATATCAGGTAAGCAAATACATATTGAGCTCAGATTCTTTATGATTGTGAGCCTGTGATAGGGTATATGTGAAAACATGGTTTGAAGTCACAGTCTTTATATTTTAAAGTGACTGTCTTCGAATTTTACCCCTATACAAGCAGACAAAGTAGTATTACGCAAAGACTAGATATTATATCAATAATAAGAGGTAGCACAGGCTTAACTGACAAAAGGATGGAATGTAAGGAATATCTGAATATTTTTGGTAATCGGGTGGTAGAGAAGATCATTTCAAAAGAATCAGAAGTAAAAAAACAAACAAACAAACAAAAAAACAGTTAATAAGAGAAAGATAATCATGAGCTAAGGAGGTTAGAGGTCTCTGTGAAGGAGGAGAACTGTGAGGTGGGGCTCAAAGGATTCATAACCAGAACCACCTACATAATTTTCAGGGTTCAGTGCAAAATGAAAATGTGGGACCTTCTGTTCTAAAAGTATTAAGAATTTCTAGATGGCAACAGAAGTTCAATAAACCAAACATAAGGCCCTCTGAGTGTGGGGCCCTGTGTGGTTACACAGATTACACGCCCATGAAGCCAGCCTTGCCCACCATAAGCTATGTATAGAGGATCTGAAAAAAAGTAAGATAACAAAAACACCAAACTGCCTTAAAAACTATGTTTGGTTTTCCAAAAACAAATCCTTGGGATATGGGGAATTTGCAAGACCATGAATACTTCCATAAACACTAACCTACCTCTCATGATAAATTCTACCACTGATTGAGAAATTAGCATAATCTAGAAAATAGAAGGCAGTGTAACTGAGCCTCAAATGCAAAATCCCCAAAAACAAACTCCACAAGGAGAATATAGGCTTCTTAAAGAATTCCCAGCAAGATACAGTAAATATATTAAGATAACAATGACTAGTGATATTGCCTAGTTTTGTAACTTACCCATAGTACTAGAGTATTCATCAATCTATCAATGCTTGTCCTTTTAAACTTTGTCTTACCACTATTCTGCATTAGTTTAGTGTCAGGACCTGCAAAAACAAAAAAAGTAAATAACTTTGAAATGATATGATTATGTATTCTTATTATTGCTCACATCAAATGTCTCTGAAAGAAAAAAATATATATTTTTCACAATAATTTAACTTTTATTAAGAGCAAGGGCCATTAAATTGTATACGATTCTCAACAATTAGGTTAACAACAATCCTGGAAACTGCAAGAGATGTGGTCTTCTTAGACCAGGATAAATACAGTCAGAACTTGTAGTTGATAGGTTTAAGTAAAGCTATTTTTTCAAAGTCTATGCACAAATAGGCTTCTAGTTTGACATAGTTAAAGATAACACAGTCAAGAAAAGTGAGGAATAATTTGGAAATATTAAAAAGAATGCAGCAACAAACACAATTCAGAACACTAAGGTAAAAAATGGAAAAATAAGAAATCAAATTCTAGATCTGTTTCCCAAAAAGATTTGAGGTCCCTTTGAAGGAGAAACTAGAATAGCCCCCAAAATACATAAGCAAGTAATTTAAACCTTTATTGTGTATCATATACTGCATGTATATAATATGTAATTTTTGCAAAGATAAGAACTGTCTTAAACGTTGTGTTAGATTTATTTCAGGTAATTACATTATCCCATGATAAGTGCCTTGTTCCCAGAATTCTAAGCATATAATCAACTGCTTTAGAAGTGGGTTATCAGATGATGAACAAATAAAAATATTGAAAAATATTGTTAAAGAAATTCCTTGTGGACAGAGAAAACGCTAAATAAAAGCAATTAAGTTTTAATTAAAGCTAATTTCTCTAGTGTTTCCTCTCCACATAGTCTTCTCATGATTTTCAATCCATAGAGCCATTTAATATAGGAGAAAGGGGGAAATTAAAGAAAGGAGAAAAGGGAGGCACACCCAAAATTATATACCACTCCAGAAGTCAGGGAAGGATAGGCACATCCTTAAAAGACTTTCCTTTATGTAAGAGAAAAACAGAAGCAATAATTGAGATTTCATAACAATTCATTGTCTTAAGTTGGAAATTGCATCCCAGTGTCCTATTCCTAGCTACTGCTGTGTATAGGAGACCACCCACATTTTCTCAGAATCATTTATTAAAATCATATGAACATTGAGGATGGGAAATATTTCTTTTATGGTAAAGATCACAAAGGCCAAATAGTCTGCAACCATAGCACCCTGAACATACTTGAGCTCATCTGATCTCAGAAGCTAAGCTAAGCAGGTCAGGCCTGGTTAGTACTTGGATGGGAGACTGCCTGGGGATACTTGGTGCTGTAGGCTTTAAAAAAAAAAACACATAAAGTTTGTGGTTGCTAAAAACTGAAATAAGGAAAGACCAGTTAGGTGCTGAAAATGTACATTTCATTAAGCACACAAATGCACACAGACTAATAAGGAATCCTCTTTATGGATTGTTAAGCACTTATGTAAATATAACCGCAAGTGTTTATATGCACATCTCTTCTTCTCATTGTCAAAGACCCTGAAAGAATTTTCTGCACTCAACAGCCTCTATTTTCTTATCTCCCACTCGTTACTCAACCTAGTCTCTGGGCCAATCACAACACCAAAACAGATCTGGTGTTATCATCAATATCCTCCATAACTTCTTGACCACTCAGCAATCTTTGACACTGTTGACTATTCCATCTTTTTGAAACATACTCTCCCTTTAGCTTCTGTGTTATAATGTTCTCCTGCTTTCCTTCCTACCTCTTTGGTAGCTCCTTTCCTGTCTTCCGTGATACTTACCCTCCTTTCCCTTTACCCACTTACTAAAGACTGAGAATCCTTAAGACTCAGGCATAGGTCACCTTATCTTCTTACTCAATCTTCCCTGGACAATGTCACCTAAGACCATAGCTTTAAGACTAATAGTTTTAATAATATAGACAAGATGTGTATCCCCAGCTCATGCTGTTCCTCTGAGCTCTAAATCCATATATTTAAACCTACGTATTGTGTTGCCTGTATATTTCCATCTGGATTCTTCTAAGGCTTCTCAAGTGGCCCTTGTCCAATCTAGCTTACAATCTTTCTCCAAGCTTCTTATCTCAGTATCATCACCATCCGTCCAGTTGTGAAGATTGGAAGAAACCTCGGTCATAGTGGATAACTTTATCATCCTCACCTTCAAACCTGGTCATCAAAGGTTGTCAATTCAACTTTCTAAAAGCCATCTGAATTTATCTACTTCCCTTTCCTTTCACAGTCTCCGCCCTAATCTAAGGGACTGTCATCTCTCAACTGTAAAAACCTAGAAACTTTGTCTCCCTGCATCCACTCTGCCCCCAAAACTAACCACTATTTTTCCTCCTCCCCAACCCCAGGACCTGCTGTCTATTTACAAACATTACAAACAGTTTTGGCAAGATTAAGCCTTTCACAGTTAACACATATATACCCCACCTGTTTGACAACTTACAATGGTGTCCCGAAGCTCTTAGGATAAAGATCAAAATTCTGGATACTGACCACAAGGTCTACCAGCGTGATCTAGCCCCTATCCATGTCTCCAGTCCCATATCCATCTGTGTTCTCCATACCCCATACTGGTCTTCTTTTTTGACCTCACTTTCCTTACTCCTGCCACAGGGCCTTGGCCATTGATATGATTTTGGCTTGAGATGAATACCTCTTTCTCTCTCCTACCATACTGAAAATCATACGAGTGAAGGTACTACATTTGCTTTTGTTCACATTTTTAATCCCCAATGAGTAAGTAGGATAATGCCCAGCATATAGTAGACATTCAATAAATAATTTGTAAGTAAATTAATTTTTAAGTAAATTAATTTTTTGAACATCTACATTTCACCTATTATCTCAACTAATGCTTACAACAAACTAACAAATTAGGGACTATTATCCTCAGTTCAATAATAATGAAACTGAGTTTAAAGAATTGAAATTGTGTGAGATTTCTCATCTAGTAAGTGTCAGAGTGAGAATTTGAACCTCGACGTAAGTAATTCTAAAGTTCTTGGTCTTTACTATTTTCTAAAACTATATGAAATAGTCAACCAATATCTAAGACTGTGTCTTATTCAGGATGCTAAAAGGAAATAGATGACACATCGAACAAAGATAATTGGAGGAGGTTTATTTATAAAGGAACTCTTCACAGAAAGCGTAGGTGGGATTATAGGGGAAACAAAACGTTAGTGCATTAACGAAGGGCATGTAGCAATCAAGCTGTTTCTCCATCTGAGCCAGAAGGGACGAAGGGAAAGAATGGCTACTGGACCCTAAGGGAAAGAGGTGATAGGAATTTGCAGCCCTTAGAGTAAGAGTGGCCTTCTGCTGATAGATCTGGCCAGCCTGAAGTTACCATACAAGAATGCAGCCTGAAGGAGTAAATACCTTCACTGTAATCTCCTTTCTCCTTTTGATCTCGTCCTAGGGAGCCCTGAGACAAAGCTCAACCAGAAGCAGAAGTACAAGGTAACCTGTTAATATAAACCACACAAGTAAGCCTCCTAGGGCAGAAAGAAGGGTGGAAAAAGGTGAGAGGAAATCTGGAGAGGCAAACAGAAGACATCTAGGACAAAAATGCAGTGTGCACTCAAGATGGTACAGACTCCTAGAGACTGTTTAAATGAATATAATTCCTGCCCTCAGAAACAAGATTTTCTCCTCTCTTAAGCATAAAGAAGGCATTACCAGGGAAGTGTAGCCTAGCTGTTAATATATATTAGACCTTCATAAATAATACGTTTCTCTTTATGGATTGTTAAGCACTTATGTAAATATAACCACAAGTGTTTATATGCACATCTCTTCTTCTCATTGTCAAAGACCCTGAAAGAATTTTCTGCACTCAACAGCCTCTGTTTTCTTATCTCCCACTCGTTACTCAACCTAGTCTCTGGGCCAATCACAACACCAAAACAGATCTGGTGTTATCATCAATATCCTCCATAACTTCTTGACCACTCAGCAATCTTTGACACTGTTGACTATTCCATCTTTTTGAAACATACTCTCCCTTTAGCTTCTGTGTTATAATGTTCTCCTGCTTTCCTTCCTACCTCTTTGGTAGCTCCTTTCCTGTCTTCCGTGATACTTACCCTCCTTTCCCTTTACCCACTTACTAAAGACTGAGAATCCTTAAGACTCAGGCATAGGTCACCTTATCTTCTTACTCAATCTTCCCTGGACAATGTCACCTAAGACCATAGCTTTAAGACTAATAGTTTTAATAATATAGACAAGATGTGTATCCCCAGCTCATGCTGTTCCTCTGAGCTCTAAATCCATATATTTAAACCTACGTATTGTGTTGCCTGTATATTTCCATCTGGATTCTTCTAAGGCTTCTCAAGTGGCCCTTGTCCAATCTAGCTTACAATCTTTCTCCAAGCTTCTTATCTCAGTATCATCACCATCCGTCCAGTTGTGAAGATTGGAAGAAACCTCGGTCATAGTGGATAACTTTATCATCCTCACCTTCAAACCTGGTCATCAAAGGTTGTCAATTCAACTTTCTAAAAGCCATCTGAATTTATCTACTTCCCTTTCCTTTCACAGTCTCCGCCCTAATCTAAGGGACTGTCATCTCTCAACTGTAAAAACCTAGAAACTTTGTCTCCCTGCATCCACTCTGCCCCCAAAACTAACCACTATTTTTCCTCCTCCCCAACCCCAGGACCTGCTGTCTATTTACAAACATTACAAACAGTTTTGGCAAGATTAAGCCTTTCACAGTTAACACATATATACCCCACCTGTTTGACAACTTACAATGGTGTCCCGAAGCTCTTAGGATAAAGATCAAAATTCTGGATACTGACCACAAGGTCTACCAGCGTGATCTAGCCCCTATCCATGTCTCCAGTCCCATATCCATCTGTGTTCTCCATACCCCATACTGGTCTTCTTTTTTGACCTCACTTTCCTTACTCCTGCCACAGGGCCTTGGCCATTGATATGATTTTGGCTTGAGATGAATACCTCTTTCTCTCTCCTACCATACTGAAAATCATACGAGTGAAGGTACTACATTTGCTTTTGTTCACATTTTTAATCCCCAATGAGTAAGTAGGATAATGCCCAGCATATAGTAGACATTCAATAAATAATTTGTAAGTAAATTAATTTTTAAGTAAATTAATTTTTTGAACATCTACATTTCACCTATTATCTCAACTAATGCTTACAACAAACTAACAAATTAGGGACTATTATCCTCAGTTCAATAATAATGAAACTGAGTTTAAAGAATTGAAATTGTGTGAGATTTCTCATCTTGTAAGTGTCAGAGTGAGAATTTGAACCTCGACGTAAGTAATTCTAAAGTTCTTGGTCTTTACTATTTTCTAAAACTATATGAAATAGTCAACCAATATCTAAGACTGTGTCTTATTCAGGATGCTAAAAGGAAATAGATGACACATCGAACAAAGATAATTGGAGGAGGTTTATTTATAAAGGAACTCTTCACAGAAAGCGTAGGTGGGATTATAGGGGAAACAAAAGGTTAGTGCATTAACGAAGGGCATGTAGCAATCAAGCTGTTTCTCCATCTGAGCCAGAAGGGACGAAGGGAAAGAATGGCTACTGGACCCTAAGGGAAAGAGGTGATAGGAATTTGCAGCCCTTAGAGTAAGAGTGGCCTTCTGCTGATAGATCTGGCCAGCCTGAAGTTACCATACAAGAATGCAGCCTGAAGGAGTAAATACCTTGACTGTAATCTCCTTTCTCCTTTTGATCTCGTCCTAGGGAGCCCTGAGACAAAGCTCAACCAGAAGCAGAAGTACAAGGTAACCTGTTAATATAAACCACACAAGTAAGCCTCCTAGGGCAGAAAGAAGGGTGGAAAAAGGTGAGAGGAAATCTGGAGAGGCAAACAGAAGACATCTAGGACAAAAATGCAGTGTGCACTCAAGATGGTACAGATTCCTAGAGACTGTTTAAATGAATATAATTCCTGCCCTCAGAAACAAGATTTTCTCCTTTCTTAAGCGTAAAGAAGGCATTACCAGGGAAGTGTAGCCTAGCTGTTAATATATATTAGACCTTCATAAATAATACGTTTGTAAAGCAAACCATATCTGTGTCATCTATATTCCTTGCACAATTCCTAGTGGTAGGTATAACTAGAGTAATAATACAGAAAGAATACTTAATAATTCATTGGATATTTTTCATTAGACCTAGGTGTTGACCTGGAACTAGTTCCCCAACTAAAAGTCTTAAGACTTAGAGGTTTTGCGACATCCGTTTGTACATCTCTGACACTGACGAAGCCAACCACTAATTCTTCTGTTTGCCAGCATTCTAATAAAGCTTTCTACCAACATTTGTAACCAGACTAAAGTCAATGCAGGCATGCTCTGCTTTACAAATATCCACTTGATAAGGTCCCCTGCAAGTGAATACCGTGGCCAAATCACAAGAGAAGGGAGTATTCCCCCTCTCCCTGCTGCCTGCTGCCTGCTGCCGAAGTCCAGAGAGCACTAAGTTTTTCCAACTCTCAGCCTAGAGAGCAGGCTGGGTGCTCTGAATTAAATTTGAAAGGAGGGAGAAGCAGAAAAGGAAGGAAAATAACATTTGTCAAGCATCCTTTTCCATATGCATTATCTCATTGAGCACTTAAAATGACTCTAATGTACTCATTATTATCCCCATGTTACAGCAGAAAAAAAACTAAAGCTTAGGAAGTGTAAGTAGCCAAAGCTTACAGTCCTATAGCTGGTAAAAATAATAATAATAATAACAATAAATAAAAAAATAGTAATAAATCCAAACTCAGGTCTGCCCAATCGAAATTCTGTGAACTTTCTGTTACAATTCCTTGGAGGGAGGCCTGTTCAACTTACCAGCCAACTTCCATGTTTTTCAGAGCATTTTCCCATAAAGGAACCTTACAAAGAAGAACTTGGCCTCTCAGTAGTTCACAACAGCTGCCCTAACATGAAACATTGCAGCTGAACTTGAGTCCTGAATTAGCCATTCCAAACAAGATCACAGAAATGCAAAGTTTGGGGCTTTATCCCATCCATAGGATGAAGCACTTCTATCTCTATGATGACAGGAAGCAAGTCAGGAGGGTATTTCCCATCAGAAGACCACGAAATTTCCCCATCATTAAGTAGGAAGTTAAAGGAATGTTCATGGACAAGCTTAGCTCTCTCTTTATCTGTGTAATGAAATATATGATCATATGTTTATTTCCCCAACTAAAACATAAAAGCTCATTTCTAGGGATTTCCCAGGTCTTTACAACGGCAGTGCCCCAAGCAGCAAGAGCACTGATAACACTGACAGCTGACAGTATTTAGAGGAATTGGGAGAACAATTCTAGGTTTGGAACACTTCTAAGATTTTAATGAACACTTTGTTGTTGTTGAGGAAGGTCAGTTAAGAAAAACATTCCAATTTTGATTGCACATAGTCAAGAGGCCCAAAACACATCTTAATTTGGTGTCACAATAAACAGGACTTTTAAAATCAAGGGCTGGCAATTGAAGCCATGAGTACAATTTGAGTGGCTTTATGAAATGGTGCTACTGTAAGCTTTCTTAGCAAGAGAGGGCCACCTTGGGCCTACATAAATAAAGCAGAGAAAAGAAATATGGTGGGCAAGAAGAGTAAGAGGCACCTCCCCCTACCCCACCCACCCCCATCATGCACAGTCTTTCCAGAACCCACTCTCCTATTTATGAACAGTGGAAAAAGTTATGGAGTATAAACAGAAATGATTACAGGATCAAGAAGCCTTTTCCAAAAGGTCTGCTTGACCTTTGCAAACTACAAAATTAACTGCACAGCCAGGGGCTTTCTTTCATACTCTTACCCACTTTAAAGGCAGATTCATACATAAAATGACAAAGGTGATTAAGATGGGGTTAATAAAGAAAAATTAAGCAGTAGGTATCTAGCACCCACTGTCTAGTTAAAACTCCAGCATCTTTAAGAATAAGATGGCAGTAGTTCCTCATACAGCACGGCCACCTGTACTCTTTTCAGAGCAATGGTGTTTTCTCCTGGTGTCCTACAATCTGAAGCCAGCTCCAGAGCACTACTTCGCATGGAATGAAAGCACTGTGCTCATCAGAACTTGGAGAATCGTAGACTGTGCTAGTGTACGTTGCAGGAAAGGTTCCCATAGAGCTGGGTCACATGCTGTACCTGCAAAAATAACCATTCCAAAACACCAGCTGGTATTTCTCAGGATGCAGCCTCTCAGGATTATCTTCTCATTGTTGAGGGAGTGCTTGCTGTCTTTCCAAGAAAGGATTCCCATGAATTTATCTAACTTGTTGTTAGGCGCCTCACAGACAACAATCCCTGGAAAATAAAAAAACAAAACAAACCTCTTTACGACTCACCCAAAATTCTCTTCAGAAGCCCACAGCACTGTTTTACCACTGTTTCCCTTTAACAGCACGGGGTTCCATACACAGAATTGTGCTAGAAAAAATAAGCTGGGAGGTAGAGAAATGGAAAGCCATCAACTATTTTGAAACACAGTTTTCTGTACTGTCCAAATAAAAATTTTTAAAAAAGAAAACAAATAACAACAGAAACCTTAAGAGCCATGGGATATTTTTTCTTGAAAAAAAAAAAAAAGAGCATATCTTTACTTCTAGTTTATAACAAATAATTTTTGAAAAGATAAAGCAGTGACTGTCCTAAAAGTTTCTCTTATTCCATCTCTTTCAGCTAAATGTGAACTTTTCCACAGTTTAAAATGGCATACTTCCAGTCTCACAACAAAAGTTAACCACCTTTCTAAGCTCATAATCAGGATTTCAGGGGTCCTACTGTCCACCAGAAGGAAACCTGGGCCTTGTTTGCCACATGTGTCTGAGAATGCGTGTGATTCCCTTCAGCTGTTCTATGCTTCTTATCTTGATTAGATTCAGAGTTCTGGGGACTCTCAAAGGCACCATATAACTTGCCCCTAGAAGATGTTTCTAGTTTCTTTAATTCCAAACCAAAGGCATGCCCACTCCAAATCAACGAATCAATTCGTTCCATTATTTCAATATGAAAATATACATTTAGGATGGGGGTTCTCTAGATAGAAAAAGAAACCACAAAGAATCTTTCACGGACCCTGTCACAAAACGTAACTATTAGATTAATATACATATCCACTGCAAAAGGTGAGGAAAAATTATTATACATCATGAGTACAAAGACACGAAAGAACAGAATGGAGGGAGAGAGGAACAGAGGGAGGAAGGAACAAAGAGAGGGGAGATATGAAAAAGGAAGCTGTGGTTAGATCCAGTCAGGATTTGAGTCGGAGTTGGGGGTGAGATTAGTACCTACAAAGTTCTCTCTCTCAAAAACAAACAAACAAAAATACATTCACATTTAATCAGAAGTCAAAAGGGCAAGTTGAAACATAAAACGTAGCATTTGGAAAATAAAAAGGGGACTGTATCTTTAGCGCTGATTAAAGAGAAAGGGGACCAAGTAAGCCTAGAGATCTATATTACACTGACTCCATCCACTCTCCAAGCTGCCGTCTGAACTTAAAAGAGGCTTCTTAGGTGGGTCTCCTTTCTTCCTAGGATACTCCCTTTAAAACTACTAAACAGAGGTAACAGCAACCAGTTGCCACAAGGCCACTGGTCACTCCTGACCAACCAGATCACTAACAGCCCTTGCATTAAAAAAGCAAAAGCAAATAAAACTGTGAAAGGAATGAGGGTCTCATGGCCTCAGGGCCACTTTTCCAACCTCCACCTGTCTTTCCCCAGTATAACAAAAGTACTGCCTAAAGCCTCTCCACTCAGGCACTCACTGGCAGTTTCCCAGACATCCCTATTTCCCACTGCTAAATAGAGACTGCTGGCAGGAGGATTTGGATAAGACAAATAACCTTGCCAAGGGAAGGGGCTGAATTCTGGTTAGCTCCATTATGGCCTATCACTGATAGTAAAAAGTAAATTAAAACCGATTTAAACTGGCTCAAGTTGTTTGGACAACTATGTTGTAGATGGGGAGACATTTTCAGAATTCAATATCTTTTCTTCTTGACCAATTTTCACTCTGAATTGTAAAATCTTGAATTGGCTATCACCAGCAAAATCTACATAAAATAACAGGTTAACAGTAACACTTAAAGTTTATTTCAGATTCTTGACCCAAGACTCAATTTCTCAGGCTTCAAACTGAGCCACTTAAAAAAAAAAAAAAAAATGTGCTTTGGGCAAAAACAACATGATATGCAATCCCTGCCAACAGGAATATAAAAAACAGGTTCATTTGATCATTTCTATTGTCGTAAGCAAAGACTGACATGGAGGCAAATACAGCCTTAAACACGTTGGCTCGCTCCTCGCTGGCCTCACACCAAGGGTGTGGTTCTAGACAGGAACAGGCAGTAGGGCCAAGGGGTACTGCCTGGGTTCTTGGAGGCTAAGCCCCAATTCAGCCTTTCTCAAAGAGTGTGGTCTCGGTGATGTAAGTTCTAAATACAGGCCCCAGTCAAAACAAAATGGTGGGAACAAAGCCAAACTACATTTGTTTTTATCATTAGAAGTGCTCGGCTTCCCCTTTTTAAGCTCTATTAGCATAAAACACACACTTCCCAATTTCTTTTGTACCACTTTCCAAAAGGGATGAACAGATTCCTTTGAAGGGAGCACTGTATTCACCTTTGTATTCCTATAAACTATTATATTATCTACATAATAGGATCTTTGTCGAAGAGATGGATAGAAAAAATTTCAGATGATTTCAAGAGAGAGGTTAAGAGATGAGATGGATATTAGAGCAGATCTAAGAAAAATGGACAAAGTAGGTATATTTCCATGATAGTGATGAAGGACTAGAAAACCAAATAGCCGAGGCACAACAGGCGGGGCTTAGTTTCTGGCTTAAATCTAATGGGAGCCGAGTAGATCGGAGAGTACTGAAAACAGGTGGGAGCATTAAAGTGCATTAGAAGCAACCAGAATGAGAGCCTAGCCATGAAGCATAACAAGGATGAGGGGAAAGCTCTCTTAGGACCCTTCTTCCTTTTGCTAGTTCAATCAGAGAAGAGAAAGAGGATGTAAATGGTCAGTTTGACAATCGATGAGGAAACAGTTTAGGAAAAAATCACATCATTTCTCACATAGTCATTTATTGAATACATATGTGGAGCACAAAGTCATCTTTAATAGGCAATAATAAAGCTGGAAGAAAATCACGTCAATAATGAAGTGTAAATACAATCAAACTAGCTGCTCATATCTGTTTGCCCCTCTGAAGAGAAGACATGAAAGCAGATTGCAATCTATCCATTTGACACTCACACAGAAATGCTCTAGACCCACACTGAAAAAAATCTACAGGATCTCATTCTGGACCTTCCTAAGCATTCTAGATTTAGTCAGCCGGATTGTTGGTTAATTACCAACTCGACAGACTTCTCGAGTTAAGTATTAACCTCAAAGAGAAAGTCTGCAGCTTATCATAAACATGGAACTCAGTGCCCAATATTCTATGATTTTCCAGAGAAGCTGGCTTCATCTCTTTGTGTACATTATTAATAGAAATAGTTACTGATTATCTGTACTGCAACTCTTCCATAAGACAAATTATCCAGCAAATAAAACATCAATATTGCTGTTCAAGAATTTCTCTAGCCAAGAGTTTCTTAGCATTTTAGAGATTGCCCACTACTGTTTGCCCTGAAGATTGTGACAAATATTTATTTATTTTCTTAGAAAGAAGAGTGTCACCTTCCTATTTTCTAAAGCTTCTTTACTCTTCAACTGTCAAGGTTCACCCATCCATCATTACCATAATGGCATGTCGGCACCAGCAGTAAAGATTCCGCCTTTACATGGAATCTATGCCTCATGCGTCAGCTGTGCTGTTGGGGTGTGCTCCTGTCCAGGTGAATAGGAAAGCTATCTGGTAAGCAAAAAAACTCACAAGATGCTAACCAAGCTATTTTATTTTTTTAACCAAAAAGAGATGCTTATTTTTCCATGTTTTAATTACACACATGCTATTCTTTAGAAAGAACCACAAAATATACAAGGATTCCTGAATAAAGAGTCAACCTTTCCCTGGTTCAGAATTCAGCATTAACAGTCATACAAAATATGTAAACTTGTCAGGAGTTGCAGAAAACAGATCTCAGTTCAGTCAGTAACAATATGCAAAAGATTCTTAAACACATTTCGACAATTTACATCCGGGGATTTCCCCAAGGAATAAGAATGTCCAGTTTACATAATAATAATTGACAAGTATTTCAGTTACTTGTTTATAAAAGCTTTTCAATTCCCATAAGACTTTAACATGAAAATCAAGGCCCACTCAATCTCTTTTTATATTATATTTGATCTACAATGTTAGATCAAGTTATGTATCTTTTCTTACAAAATTCAAGAGACCATAAATCATTTTTTTCTGATGTTTGAAATGTATAAAAATATTTGCATGAGAACTTTTCAAATAAATGGATTTACCTGCCAAAACCCAACTCTCTTGTGTGCACTGATCTCTACATTTGGCCAAGTCTTCTATAAACTCTTGTCAGGGATCTTGACATCCAAAATCACTGAGAACATTGCTACGTTTTAAAAATATGATGACCTCATCCTTGTCCTGGATGGACTTGATCTCTGGTAATTAATTTTGTACCTTCGGGTTTAGAATATTTTAAAATTTCATTTATTTCCCTAATCAGGAGCTAAGCTCTTGTGCTAATTTTCCCTAACTTTCCAATGCTGTCTTTCTACTTTGGTTTACAACCTGGGGTTTTGTGTCCTTTTGTGTCCTTTGTAAAATAGGCTTTGCCAAAAGTCCAGGGTTCATAGTCTGGCTTCTCCACTTAACAGCCATATGACACTGGGAAAGTTAATCAATTTACCTTGGTCTCAGATTCTTTATCCATAAATTGAGCTAACAATAATCTCTTCCTTCAAGAGTTGTAAGGGTTTAACAAGATAATGTGTGCAATTACTCAGCATGGTGCCTGGTACATAGGGAGCTCTTGCTCACATATCAACATCAAGTTTAGGGCCTGAGAACTTTAGGACCTTTACCTAATCAAAGGCTTCTTTAGGGATGAGACTTTTTTCAAGTCTGTCTTCTCCCCTGGGAAATAAGCTCTAAAAAAGCATGGCCTGAGCCTGACTTATTAACCACTGTATCCTAGGCTTAACAAATCCCTTGGCCTTGTGTTAAACATACATTTGCTAAATGAATAATGGGTGACTGTACACATATGGATGAAAGAAATCAGCTCACTAGAAAGACACTATCTTTGAATATAGATGCAAAAGTGAGGAGGCAGAGAGACTCACCAGAGACATCCTGAGGTTTCAACCCATCTCAGTTCTGACCCTATGTGTCCGAAACGTGGAGTCCCCAGTGGGAACTTCTCTGGGGATAGGAGTGGGAAATTCAGGTCTTTAGATACTTGGAAGATGTGCTTTTATGATTCAAGGACAGAAAACTGTAATTTGGTGCTAAAGAAAGTATTTGGCAAGTCTCAGAAGAAAAAACACACAGTAACCAGAAGCAAAAATAATTCCATACCCAGATTTGCCCAGAAGTCACAAATTAAAACATATACTTAGCACAGATAGAACATGGTAAAGAGTGTGCCTCACATATCTATCTCATCTATTACACCTTGCAAAAGCTAGCCAGGTCATTGTCAAACATACACAATGTTGATATCTTATTTTAATTTAAACTAAAGGATGCAATATCTGGTTTTGATTCCCATGAGTCAAGAAAGTCTTTTTCCAATCACCAGAGGAAAACCTGTAATCTATTGATATTTCATTAGGACAAAGGTGAATAAAGAAGACACAAAAAAGGGAGTAGAAAAAGAACAAGGAGCAAAGGATCAAAAGAACCTGGATAATATATGGAGAGATCATTTATAATTCTACATACTTTGTTTTGCATCTTGTACTTTGGAGGTACTTAATAAAGACTTAAACCAATTACTATGGAGAGAGTGATTAAAACAAAGATAAAGAATGACAGAAAAGTGACACTGCAGGTGGAGAAAATAGCTAAGATAAAAAGTGAAGGAGGAAGATGAGATGAGAACAGTAAGCAAGAATACAGGAAGGAAAAAAAGGAAAGAGAAGAATGGTGAAATGGAGTAGTTAGAAAACCATGTGCAGATAGTGGAGTGTGTGTGTGTGTGTGTGTGTGTGTGTGTGTGTGAGATATTAAAATTGAAATGCATAAATTAGGTCTTGGAAAGAAGTGGATGGAGAAAATAACTGAAGGCCAAGGAAAGCAAGAGCAATCGTGGGAAGGATTTAGGGTTTATTAACTGTCGTAACTCTTTCAAAGGCTTCCATGCCACATCTTGCATCATCCTCTTGGTCTTTAAATTTGGCTGCTAACTGGGGGGAATCTAATTTGTATATTGTTTCTAATTTATTTTCCTTCAATTCATCTATTCATTCTTCTGATGCTTTCTTAGAAACAGGAAATTATATTTTTTATTTATTAGAATAAACCCATAAAACACTCTGTTGCCTTGAACTTTAAGGTAGATTGAAATGCAGCCCAAGATTTTAAAACGAAAAAGTAAACTTAACAGAAACCTGGATTTTAGCCCAGAAGTGTACCAGCCTCATGAATTTGGCATTACATGTTTTCTGAAAAGCTGACCACAGTTTAAGTATATATAATCATAAAAAAGGGAGGCTCTGTATTGCCTTTATTGGGGAAAACAATTCTTCATTGGGGATTTGGTGAGTTGCCCATTCTGTATGAAGTAAATTCAAGTCATATCTAGTAAGTAATAATTATTAACACACCTTAAAAGTAAATTTTGTGAAGTATTTTTAAATGGCTATTTTTATATATAAGCAAGTCCTTTAACTTCTCAAGACCTGTTACCTCATCTGTAAAATCCTAGGGGAGGAAAGTGTTTTCAGCCTGAGCAAAACCACTTGTATTGGTTTAAATTTGGAGCTACTGTGTTCCAGTTTCTTACATCAGAAACGATCTGAAGTAAAGACATTTTAAAACTACCATGCCAGCTGATCCCTCTCCCAGACACCTGCCTTCCAGGAGGAGAGGATCCAGCACTCCTTCTCAGTCCTACAAGGCCACTTCAGGAAGCTTAAGCTTCCTCCTCACCCCATCGTTTCACACTCCCTTCCTAGTCTCTTTACGTTAGGCCTTTCCTTTGCCCTCCCATGTCTTTTTGGGGCCTGATGCTGGTCTTCCTCTTTGCCCCACACTGGAATTTATAACTATTTATTCATTTTCTGCTATAAGAAGAAGAAAAAGCCAAGCAGGGTATGGTGGATTGAGAGTATAAGGAGTCATGCTGAAGAGAGGGATACTTAGCCCCAATCCTGTAGTTCCATGTAAGAAATCCACCTAATCCAGCCTGGCTCCTTATGCATTATCCTGGCATCGACTTACAGAGCCACGATTCTTGGAGGATGTGGTAGAGACAGTTAATGCTCAACAAGTATTCATATTTGTTATTTCCTAGCCTCCCTTGCAGTTAAGTCAGGGCCAGGTGACAATGTTAGCCAATGAACTATAAGAGGAAGAAGAATTTAAAAACCACTGTGTCTATTTCATCTTACCCTTTGCCCGATGCAGGGACCTCAGACGCCATTAGTCCAGACACTGTGGCTCCGTGACGGAGAAGGCCACCCAACCCACTCAGGATGTGACATGGGCAAGAATAAGCCTTTACTGTGTTTATGCCACTAAGATTGCAGGGTTGTTTATAACTGCATCATAGTGTAGCCTATCTGGGCAAACATGTAGGAAAGAATGGGACCTAAATAATTGTTAACAATCACGCTCTTCTTTTTGATGGTTAACAACACTAAAACTCATGAATTTCTACCTCTTCGTAGATCAATAGAGGTATAAAGGTACAACGCTGCCAGGAAAGAAATGAGTAATAGTAAATTATATTTAGGTGGCCCTTTTAGGACTCCATAAATATTCAATGAGGTATTTTAAGCAAGTATTTTGATTCATGAACACAATTTACTTTTCTTGGATTCACATAACAGTAAAATTTCATTGAAAAAATTACTTAGTAGAAAATGTGTAATTTGTTTTATTCTAATCAAAATATTCCTTGGACCATTCAGTTTCCTGGCTACTCCCTGACTTAAATCTCAATTTGGAGGAATTTTTTTTCTATAAACATCTGTTGTAAAGGCACTCATTTAAGAGAGATTAAAATATTAACAGAATCCAGACAGAGTTTACAAGCAACTGCAAAGCACAGGCAATAGAAGCTCTAAGCTCTGCACTGGAGAAACTTTACAACATAAACTTGCCTGTGCTTTAACTCATGTGATTATGCTAAGACCCTTATCCATGTTTTCCATAAGTGGATCCCCCAAAAACACATTTTGGAAGTTTGTCTCAAACTCATGAAAATCTATTAGTAAATAAAGCCAATCTGTATGGATATACTAATATTCTGGGCCAGACTGACAAGTGGGTAAAGCAGGAGACCATTGAGGAGTGAAAGAGAGACTCCAAAGATTCTCTCTGCAGTCTATTATGGTGCCTAAAATCCTACAATCAGTGTTTCTTTCCTTTGACTCTTGAAGTATTGCGTTTCTCTGTGGTGTCTTAATCATAAATGCAGATATCCCTAGAATGGACAACATCTGACGGTTGTTCCATGACAACTTAAGAATAACTTTACCAGAATAGAACAAGATATAGGTAGAAAAGGAGAGGCAAGAGAGATTATACTGAAGATCAAGGGACCAGCTGAATGGCATGAAGAAGGAAATACTGAAACCATGGTCTAAAATAAAAGTCAACAGATGACCAACTGATTAATAAATCAGAATATTCTTCTTGAACACCTAATATCTTCAAGACATTATACCAAGCGCCGTACAAGGTACAGAAATACATGAGGCAGGATGACTGTCTTCATGAAGTTTGAGGTCCGGTAGTTTTTGTTATGGAGCCAGGAAATGGATGGGTGGTTAGACCTAGAGCTAGAAATACAAGGGTAGCCAATATTCCTCCTCAGCAAGTCTGTATATGGCTCCAGGGAGGCCAACATTAGGCAAGTAAAGGATATTATGGGATTGAAGTAAATGATATTTAAAAAGGAAACAAGCATGAAATGAACGATAAACTAATAAAGCCATTCTCCCCTTGGCAAATATTTTTACTCTCTTTAGCGTGAGAATAAATTACAGGCTTTGATGCCTGGAGAATTTTATGTCCTTCCACCAAATAAAAAGAAACATAAGTTGGATCTCACATAATTAGTTTGTTGCTTTGCTTTTTGGGTTTGAGATTTTTGTTTGTTTATCTGTTTAAAATACTTACCGTCAAACCTTGCAAGTCTGTTGATATCTGCTCCAAGTTCCGAAGTAACTGATAGTGCATGGCGGACTTTTAGGTTCGTTTCCCTGTGAAATTATTGACATGACATGAATTTTTATATGGAACAGCCAACAGCATTCGACCAAAGCAATCAGGTGGGTGTAGCACATGCAAAGCCAAACCCAAGAGATCCAAGAAACTCTCCTTTGAATGTCATTCACACTTCGCTCACTGTTTCAGGAAAGTGGGCAGGGCTTCTTGGGCTCCTAAGAGTTGGCATTCTACCCATGGCACATCTTTATAACAACACACTGATCTGTTTTGCATTTTGAAAGAACAGAGGACATAACAAATATGGTTTCATTTGAACCTACTCAGACATCATGCATGAGTTACAAAACACATTCGGAATAGGAACACAGTTGCCAAATAAAGGAAGCTAATATCACTCCAGAGTCTACTATCTACATAGGAGTTTTACTTGCAAAAGATGGTCATGGCTAATTTCACAGCAGCTGAAATTTAAATGGGAAAAGGAATACAGCTTTCATTTTCTTGGAGAATCAATCCAAGAAACCCATAAATCTAAAATAGACAACCTACACAAGCTTAGCAAATCACAGTGAGTTGTGCATCTTCTTATAGGCGGGACCACACATACTTTGGACAGATGGCTCTCTGATATTCATAAATGGCCAGCAGTTAAGATTCTATGGCCATCACTTATGTCTTGTGTTTAAGGGCTTACCATCCCAGTTTTCTCACTGAATTCAGCCTACTTCTCTTACACTGTAGCTTAAGATCAGTTATCAGAGTTCTATGTTTTACGGAAATGTTTAGTGATACATTCATTCAGTCAACAAATATTGATTAAATACATACCCGAGTCACCCAAGATACTCAATCCTCCCCCAAAAGGATAGTCATCCTCTTGGGGAAAACAAGTGGTAGGTAAAAAAGCAAACATCACTGTGTGGAATTTTGTGCAAACCCATGAAATAACTCATTTTAGACAGCCAAAAAGCGGATACCTAACAAGGCATCCAATCTTAACCTTCTGTAAATGAACTTCACAATGATGTAGGACAATATGAGTCCAACTCAAGGAATACCCATTGTTAAAATAGCTTTCTTCAGGAAAGACTAAGTTGGATGTATAACTGAAGCTAGTTTGTTTAAAAGTAATCTTATTCATCAAAACCTGCTGATTCCTAGGAGGCAGAGATGAGTAGGAATTGAGATAGTCAAGAACTTCATAGATGAAGCAGAAATTGAGCTGGCTTGATGGACAAGAGTGAGATAAGTGGTAGAGAGGCTAAAGGGTCAACATGTCCATCCACTTAAACAACTGTTTAAATAACTGAAATAGTCACACCAAAAAAGACAGATAGCCCTAGTTCTTTAGCCCTAATCTACGTCATGTCATTTATCAAAGTTTGTCATCATTTTTAATTACTTCCTCAGGATCCTCTCCACTATCTCACTTCTACCTTCAAATGCGAAAAACAAAAGAGTAAGAATAATCACACATAGGCCTTCTTGATACTTTTAAAAAGTATTTTTCAAGACTCCTGATTAATGCCTTCATTGTCATTCCACACTCTTCCTTAATCTGCCTGAGTATCTTGATAAACTTCAAAGTCATTTTCAGCATAAGAAACAATACCAAAAGATGCTGTATCCCCCTTACTCAGAATTGCATCTTACTATAGTTTCACATCTTGCAAAACCATAGTATAATATCACAACCAAGATATTGATATTGAAATAGTTAAGATACAGAACATTTCTATCACCACGGGATCCCTCAGGTTGTGCTCCATAGCCATACCCACCTCCCTGCCTTTCCCACCTCACCTTAACACCTGGCAACTACTAATCTGCTCTCTATTTCCATGATTTTGCCTTTTCAAAAGGCAAAATTTTATAAACAGAATTATACTGTAGGTGACCTTTGGGATTGACTATTTTTAGTCAGTATAATTCTCTGAAGATTCATCCAGAGTGTTACATGTATCAGTAGTTCACTCATTGTTATTGCTAAGTAGTATTCCATGGTATGAATGCACCACAATTTTTTCAACCATTGACTTATTGAAGGATATTCAAGTTGTTTTCATTTACGGATGTTATGCATAAAGCCACCATAAACATTCATGTACAGATTTTTGTACAAACATGTCTTCATTTCTCTGGGATAAATGCCCAGGGGTGAAATTGTTGGGCTGTATGTTAACTGCATGTTCAGTTTTAAGAAACTACAAAACCATTTTCCAGAGTGATTGTAGCATGTTACATTCCCACCCACAATGTATAAATGATCCTGTTTCCCTACTTCCTTGCTAGCATTTGGAGTTGTCACTCTTTTTTATTTTAGCCATTCTGATAGGTCTGTAGTGAGGTCTCATTGTAGTTTTAGTTTGTATTTCCCCAGTAGTTAATGGTGTTGAGCATCTTTTCATGTGCTTCTTTGCCATTTGTATGTCCTCTTTGGTGATATATCTCTTTATGTCATTTGCCCATTTTCAAATGGGATGGTTTGTTTTTTTACTATTGAGTTTTAAGAAGCTTTTAAAAAATATATTCAAGATACAAGTCCCTAGTCAAATAGATGGTTTACAAATATTTTCTTCTAGTCTGTAACTTATCTTTAAGCCCTTCTAACAGGGACTTCTGTGGAACAAAAATTTTTAATTTCATGAAGTCCAGTTTATCAAGGTTTTCCTTTTATGGATTATGTTTTCTGTGTCAAGTCTAAGAATCTGACTAGCCAGCTCTAGGTTTCAAAGATTACCTCCTATTTTTTTTCTCAAAGCTTTTTATACTTTACATTTGAAATCAATTTCTGTAATACTTATAGAGCTATTCAAATTATCTATGTCATATTAAGTGTATAGTCTGTTTTTTTTGAGAAAGAGGGTCCATTTCTTCTAAATTGTCAAATTTCTGTGTGCACAGTTATTTGTGGTATTTCTTTTTTACCTTTATAACGTCTTCAGGATCGATACCAAATTGCCAAATTGCCATTGTTCATGCATAATATTGCTGATTTGTGTCTTCTTTTTTTTCTTTTATCAGTATTCTTAGAGGTTTGTCACTTGTATTGATGTTTCCAAAGAACTAGCTCTGTATTGTTGATTGTCTTTATTTTTTTGTATTGTTTTGTTTTCAAGTCTATTTATTTCTGCTCTTTATTATCTCCTTCCTACTGCTTCTTTTGGGTTTATTTTGCTGTTTTCTAGGTTTTTTAGATGAATGATGAGATTATTTGAGAATTTTTCTCTTTTCAAATGTATGCCATAAATGTTCCTCTCAGAACTGTTTTAGTTGTGTCTAAACTGTTCTGACCAAAGTAGGGTCCCACAGACTAAAGCACTATTTGAATAGCTCAGTATGGCAATAATTTGGAAGGCACCAGTTAAAACCATGGACTCTGGTGTCAGACTGCCAGGTTCGAGTCCTGGCTTCACTCTTCAGATGCTTTGGGCAAATTACTTAGGCTCTCTAAGCCTTGATTTCATTGTCTGTACAATAGGGCTTATATAGCATCTATATCAGGATTAAATGATAAATTCCACCTAAAGAACACAAACACATACTGTCATTAAAATGTAAACATTCAATAAATGTTTTTATGCCAGACAAATTAAATCCTCTGAAACAGAACTGCTAAATGGTCTATAACTAAATTATAAATTAATATCAACATCAAAACTGCATCATATTCTGTTTCTCTCTTCTTTTCCTATGTCTTCATTTGACACAGTTCCTAAAGGTTGCCTTTTAAAGTAAAATCAGTCCTTCCTTCCCTCCTCAGGGAATCTTGATCTCTACCCCTCTCATTTTCCCTATAAAATCACTTGAAATCAAAACAAGCAGAAACTGTTTTTGAAAACATCTGAGGAATCTTACTGAAGATTCTCTGTGTAAAGTTATTCCTGTATATAAGTTTAGCTCACTGTTTCTGCAAGAAAATAAATGTAAGAGAAAAGACAGTTTCAAAATTACTGCAGAGTAATTAACTATGGACTTTGCGATGTAAACTCCTATGTCTCCCAAGAAGATACTGAACAAGGCTAAGTCTTATCTCTAAAGACATTACTTTTAAATAAATTGAAAACCAACTGAATTATTCCAATTTTAATAACTTACCCATCAAGCTCAGCAGTTTCAACATAACAGAGACCATGTGGCTCACTACTTGATAGGAGAAGTAAATCAGCCTATTTTCAAAAATCATAACAAAATAGTACTTGAGAAGTTAGATTGGTTGAAAGTCTTCTACAGTATATCACCTCTTGATTACTAACGAGCCAACAGAGCCTTAGAAACAAAGTAAAAGAAGTGAGATCCTGTTCTACCTCTATGTCATATGCCCTGAACCAAACCCTCCCTCTTCCCTGTTCGTCCTTTATATGCCCCTTGACTATCACAACATAAACAAGGGAAGGAGCTGTCCTATGAATTAATAACCACTTGATTCACCTTTTTTGAATGAAACATATAAATTCTATTTTCTTGCTTTGATAATTACTAACATAAAACTCTCTCCAATAAATAATTGGAAATACATGCACAAACTTTAATTACCTAGTGTCATCAGTTAAAAACAGGGAGCAGACAAAGGAGATGGGGACAAAACAGAAGGGAAATAGATGGAGGAAACTAAAAAAATAAAATAAAAATAAGAGAGGCAAGGAAGTTAAGAAAGAGATAAAGATGGTAAGAAAAAAGTAAAAGATGGTAGGAAGTAAGAAAGGAGAGCTAAGATAAAGTAGGGACTAAGGAAGAGAGCAAGACAGAAGAGAAAATGTAGTTAAAGGCAGTGGGAAGAAATCAGAGACTGAGTAGTTTGGGTTTTTCAGAGATAATCAGTTCTATTCTGATGTCCAGTTGAGCTTTGCAAATCACCTATCACAATTCAGTTTTAGAATCCTGGTAGCTCTCTAAATTGGTAAAGTTCTTATCGATTTCATTTCAAATTTCTAAACTTATTTTAAAAATAAGTATTTTTATAAAATTTTGAAGAGTCTGAATATCTAAAAAGAATTGGCTTAAATTTTAGCAATTTAGTTTGAGACATTAGCCTAACAATTTTCTAGCTATGTCTGAATCTATGATTGGCATTCCAAATCTGTGAAATTTTCTTACCTTTGTTTTTTAAAACATTAGAATTGCTTTGTTCTTGAGTCTTGGGGGTTAAATTTAGAATCAATTTACTTTCTTGAGTCTCAAGCTTTTAAATTTGCAACTCAAAAATAGGGTGTGTGTGCGTGTGTGCGTGTGTGCGTGTGTGTGTGTGTGTGGTTTTGTCCAAATTGGGACTGGAATAAAACAGAGCTGGGGAAAAATGCCCTGTGACAGCCCCTAAAGGAGTAAGTGGGTTTGCATTACCAAGGCTCTTACACAACTCTGAATCAAAGAGCCACAGAAGCTTGTTGAGGCAGAAATTTTCTGACTTGTCACACTGTGAACAGAGCAAAGCCACATAAAGAAAGTGATGTCGCTCTTGGACCAAAAACTACCCATCCTGATTTTAAAGGGAAAAAAAAGTTTTCTGAAAATTCACCTTGATCTTACTTCCCACATTTAAATTTCAATGCATAAGAGTAGGCACAAGGCACTAAACAGGAAAAGAGCTCAATAGTCAGTCTGTGGGCCTGCGCCTCTCCTCCCCTGAGCTTAAAAGGCTCATTTGAAACAAAATCCAAAATTCTCTAATCCTAAGAATCTGTGACTGAATACAGTTATGAAGTATAGAGAAAGATGCCTATTTGTACCCAGGGCTGCTTTTCTTTGAAACTCGAATCCAGTGTTACTGTTGAAGACTGGGCAGGGCTGCATTGACACTCACACCATGGTAAACAAGGGGAGGAGTCCCTGCACACAGCTGGCTAGGAACATGTGACTGAGGCGCCACTGCCATCTGGCGGTCAGATTCTCTCCTGAGCAGTGACCCAGCTTCCCACAGGCTGACCCCCACAGGTTCCAGGCTAACTGTTCCTGCTCACTGTACTCTCTGGGACCGAGACACCTACCTTCCCCACCTCCGCCCATCTCCCCAGTTACCACCTTTCTCTTTGATGTTCTGTGAACCTTCCTCCAGCTTTCCTACTCCGTGATCGCCATGCTGCACTCCCTTCATCTATCCTCCCTTCTCCCTGTCCCTCTGCTGAGGCCTGCTGTTCCCTTTTGTTAACCTCATCCTTCAAGGCATTAATTCATTGTGGTTGAGGAGGGAGTGTGAAGGGAAGGCCCAGGGGGGCCAGGAGGATAAGCGGTCAATGTGCTCACCGTCATGCAGGCAGGCCTATTTTCTAGTGTACTCAGTCATAATTGTGAAAAGGAAAGGGCAGGAGAGCTGCAGAAAAAGCCCTGCTCATCCCTTGTCACCCCTTTCCAGAGGTGCTGTGCCAGGAGTGGAGCAACACATGGATTTCGGGGCCCACCTTCCCCAGGACTCTGAGTCTCACAGCAGGCCTCCTCAAACTGACTCCTCCAGTAAATCCTACAGGGACCCAATTCCTAGCTGATCCAGAAACTTGTGTTCCAGATGTAGGTGTTTATGATTCCAAATAATGTAGCTGATATTTAGTGAGGGTTTACTATGTGTCCAGCACCGTCATAAGAGCTTCACAAGTGCTATTTTATTTAACGTTCACAGAAATCCTATAGCGCAGGTCCTATTGTTATCTCCACTTTACAGATGAGCAAAGTAAGGCCCAGAGGGGTTCTGTAACTTCCTCAAGGTCACACAGTAAGAGGAGGAGCCAGGATTTGAATCTGGGCAGTATGAGGCATATACTGCAAGGGATACCAAAATGATTCAAAACCTCTTTGCTTCAAGGATTTGTATAGTTTAATAAAGGCAGAATATAAGGGTTCTAAGAGCCTTATTAACAAAGTGCTATGAAGGGAGTGCAAATGAGAGTGCAACATTGGATTGCTAGTTGAGGAAGGGCATCATGGAAGATTCTAGATGCAGTGAAAGGAGGTCCCCAAGGCAGAATGACTAACAGGAGTAAAGAAGTGGAAAGGAAAAGCATGAATATCCAAACTCACAGGTGGGCCAGGATATCATTAATTCCATTCAGAACCACCTATTATATGCCCCATGTTTACTTTCTTTTGTGAATTATTAGTGCCTTTTCTCCTTGCTCTGCCAGGAGAGGCTCTGCTATGTCCTCCATGAAGGAACCAGTGTTTTCCAATACAACGCCCCTTCCCCAGCTTCCATGGGTAACAGAAAACAAATATTCCCATTAGAGGGAACCTGAAAAGAATGCACTGAACATATTTGGGTCCTCAGAGCCAAAGGCATTGTCCTCATAGGTTCATTAGTCATAATTAATGTTTGTTGAGTTAAAGAATAAAGTAAAATGTAAAGCAACGATAACACCTTAAAGCTATACAATTATTTAAGGATTTATAAAACCCTCTCTCATAATTGTGTCATTTTACTCTCTTAACCCTGTGAGTAGTGTTCTTCCCGTTGTATGGATGAGGAACCGGGGAGGTCATATCTGGCTCAGGAGTGAGGGAGGAATAGACTCTACCACACCCACCAGAAGAACTAAATTAACTCATGTAAAGCCCATGGCCCTTCCAAAGTCATTGAGGAACCCAAGGGCCCAAGAGACTTAACGCAATCCTCATGGACACGCATAGCTTAAATTGCAGAGCTGGAACTAGAATTCAGAACTTCTGATCCCAAAATGTATGCTCTTTTCCTCTGGTGGGCTACTAAATCACTGGAACACAAAACTATGAAAAACAGAAAGTATTTCACTTTGTTTTATGCTTTGTTTTGCTTTGTTGGCGTTCAAAAATCAAAACCACAATGGTGAAAGAATATTTGGATTGTGGTTCCATGACCTGATGGAAAGATAAATTTGTAGAATTAAGTTGAACACTTTTGGATCTCCTTTTATTTTTCAGGCCATTCTCACACATAGAGTTATTTATCTTCTCTATCATCTACAACATTATCTTTTATTATAATCCAAAAATAAAAATAAAAAACAAAATAGCTCATGTATTGAGTCAAAAAATGAGAATGAGATTCTAAAAATGAACTTTGTATGGTGATAGGTAACATTTGTATTTAAAGTTTAAATTTCAGGTCCAATAAATGCATATTGGTTACTAATATGTACTAAATATATCATTGTTTTCCTAATTACAGTGCTTTGAGAAGAATAAGAAAAAGATGGTGATAAAGAAGAGAAGGAAGTGTGAGAATAATAATGGACATCATAAAATTTATTAACAGGCAGGCTGTTCCTCTGGTCAAAAAAAATCCTTGCCTGAATATTTTACCCCCACTTTCTACTGTCATATAAATATGACAATTAGATATAGATCAGAGAGAGAGACACACACACAGAAAGAGATGGAAAGATAGAGATGGTTTATTTACAGCAAATAGGTTGGAACAACAAGTAACTGACTTGAAGCTGTAAAACTTAAAAGAGCAATGAGGGCAATGAGACCACAAAAAAAAAAAAAAAAAAAAAAAAAGCCGGGGGGGGGCCTCTCTGAAAATGCGTCCAAGAAAGGTGTTGAAAAAGAATAGATGAAATTCCCTGATGAGTCAAGAAAGAGCAAAAGCCCACTCCAGTCACACCTGGAGTTTAGGTCAAATTAATCTTTCTAGCCCTATCATTTCCAAAGGGTAAAACTGTCCATTCCTGTATCAGAAGAATGCCTTGGTTTTCAAACAATTCTATGAATGCCTTTTTGTGGAGGGAAAGGAAGGACTTTTCAAACAAGCTAAACAACTCAATTCTGGTAATGTTCAAATATACTCATGCCCAGTAAGGATTTTATTTCTACCACCAGCTAAGAAAAGTGAAACAACACAAGAGCACTGCTGTCAAGTGAAGGAGACAGGTACACCTGGCTCCCATGGCCCGAGTTCCGGTGGTATCAGGAATTCTGCAGTATGTTTTTCTAACAAAATGTATTTGGTTCTTCTAATGCCAGTCAAACTCCTTGTGGTATCTGAATTATACTCTGCATTTTTCCTGGTCACCCCAAAAAACTAGGAATTCTGGCAATTCAGCCCAAAAGTATTCTTGAATTTTAAAATGTATATACAAATGCAAAACAAGGGGGTTCGCTACACTAAAAAAAAAAAAAAAAAGGTAAGTAACTTCTGAATATGCCAGCTAATTGGCAATCTCTGGTGAGTTCTTTTTCCTTGCTTAAAAGTTTACTGATGAACTGACATAAATCAGGTTGCAAATTCTAAGTTTGAACAGCCAGAAGTTATGCATCTGCATTGGGCACAACATATTTTCTGATCACTTGGCTTCCAGCATCCAAGCCCAGAGCCCCTAACGCTGGTAGCCCAGACTCAAGTCAATGAGGATGACTTTTCCAATGCAGTCAGGAACAGCAAATGGTAGTGGTTAGAAGTGGGGGCACTTGAGCTAGATTACATAGACTTAACTCCTGAATGTCCCACTAGCAAGCTATTTGATGGCACTGTGCCTCTGTTTTCTCATCTGTAAAGTGAGAGCAATAAGGATACTATATAACCTGCCCTTACTGAGCTAATGTGAGGATTAAATGAGTTAATCACAGAAAGTGCTTGTTAATATTGTCTGGCATGTGACGCATGGTCAATAAATGCTAGTATTGTTTTCACGACTTTCATGACCTGGTTTCCCCCAAAATCCACCTCAGTATAACTCCTAAGTGGGTCTCTTTCAGGGTCCCATAAGTTTTGCCCCCCAAATACAAGCTCTCTGAAGCCCCTGCCAGCTCATACCAGAGTGCAGGGAGATATATTAGTACTTCTAAGTGATTCCAGTGGTTCACCTAAAAAAAAATTTCTTGCCCTTGAAAATGGTTTTGTAGGTGCTGAGTAGGTAGTCATGGGAAAACTTTGAACAAAATTATCTAATCAAGAGGTGCTGTGAGGTGGTTTTGAAGGACTCCCATCCTCCATTATTCAAAGATTAGGCCAACAGAACTACATTTGTAGGAGTCAAACAGAGAACAATGGAGATAAAAATATCATCTTTTTTTGATAAAGCTGTTATTATTGATAAAGACCAGGCTTTAGGTCTGTGGCCCAAATGGGCTTCACCCCTATCAGACAAACGTATCAAACCACATATGCTGGAAGCTCTAAGTTTCCCTGGCCCTCCCACTACCCCCACCACAGGGATTTGTTTCTATAACATTGATGGCATGGAAGAGCAGAGCAGAACGGACTCTCTGCACACAGGTGCAGCTCAAAAAGAATAAGAATTAAGGAAGCATCACCTAGGTCATGTGTACCACTCCCAGCTCCCAAACTCACCAATCCGAGAAGTCACTCCTAGGAGAGAGGAGAGAGCAAGTGGATGAAAGACACTTAAAGTGTTATTTTGGTGCCGTCCCTCCAAATGAAAACAGGAGGAAGAGTGGAAAATAAGCATTCTCACCCCATCATGGGAACCACCATAAAAGGCTACATCTGTGTGTCTAATACAGTAGCCACAAATCACACGTAGCTATTTAAATCTAAATTAATTAAAATTCAATATTCTGCTCTTCAATTGCACTTGTGCTTGCCTTCTGTATTTCATTTCATTGATGCTTTTGCAATAGCAAGTAAGCATACATACCATAATATAGAAAATACAACTAAATTAAAAACAAAGTCCAAGGAAAATACAAATTCAAATATAAAGGCTAGAGTGCCGATTGGAGCCTAGATATGCTGGCCATGAGGCACCACAGAGTTAAAAGCTTTGAGACATAGATCTGACTGCTTCTTTTCTGGACCCACTCCTAAAAATGTGAGAAATGAGCAGACTGAGTCCAGTCTGATGTTCCCCCTTGTTAGAGCACATTCATGGGGCTCCTAGGACTCATTTTTTTCACTGAATACTGGAAGTAAAAAACATACCTAGCATTGCCCCTGAAATATTCAGTTCCAAATAATATGGTAGTTAAGTGTGTGGCATATATAGGTTTATGCTAATTCCTCTCTATTATGACACTATCTAGCTAAAGTCATTGCCAAAAACATTTGAATGCACACATCTTAGAATTCCACATGTCCCTTTTTTATAAGTTAAGGTTATCCACTTAGAAGCACCAAAACTCTTTCATTGTAATCATTTTAACTGAGAGTAGAACTCGAATGAGTTGCCTGGAGCCCTTTCTTCTTAGACAAAGAATCCTGAATATACGCAATCTTTAATTAGGGCAGATACTGTTTACTGGTATCCCACTGACCCAGAACATCTGAATTTTTGTAAATTTATATGCACTTTTCTTTTTTTTTTCCTGTCTTCTTTCTTACAAAGATCAATACTTATTTATTTAGCCAACATTTACCAAATGCCCCTGATGATGGAACATGGTACCAAGTGTTGGAAAACAGGCAAATCAATATGCGCTTTGCCTGCAAGAATCATATAGTCTGGTGTCAGCTTACACAGAGAATCACAGCATGGAAGGGAGTTTTGAGATCCTGTAGTGCTCTAGCTTCTTATTTGACACATGGACAAACCAAAGACAAAGAAGATAAAGTCTTTGCTGTCACTGAAGGAATAGAGCAAAGCCTCAGTTCTCACCCAGTTCCCCATCTAGTGCCCTTACACTGGATCTACCTTGATTCCCCACACACAGTATGTTCTAACAGACACCACCTTCCAGGGTATTATTTCTAATCTTTAATGAGCTGAAAAACAAGATGGACAAGCAAATTTAAACTGCGGCTTAAATAAAAGTAAATAGATTGCGAGTGAGAACCTGGCAAACTGTTCTACTTATGAGGAGCTTAACCCAGAGTGGACTTTGAGACCTCTGTTTTGGCTGTCGACACCTTTTTGTTTATTTTTGGTTCCCAACTATTTTCCAAAGCACTGCGGTTACCAGAGAAATAAGCACTTCTCTACTTAAAGTGTGAACTCTTTTGTGAATGACCAGTCTACTGAGTAGTCTCCTTAGTGTGGGCTGTTCTGGAGAATTCAGTATACACAGATGGTGCATTAATGAAAGAAGACTGCTTCTGAAAGTGAATGTTTAGGAGTCTTAACTGAGTTGTCTTGTAAATAACTCTTGGGGCCATATTTTTTTCCCTGTGGTAAAATGTTTCAAGTTGATACACAAAATAGCACTCAACAGAAAAAATTTCATATGTAATCTAATATATATTTGACATAAACAATAACTTGAATTTTTAATCTCTGATCTCAATAATTTTTATTACCTTAAATTTAATTTGAACTATAGTTAGTTGCATATATTTTAGTGATTAGACTAATCCCTTGAATTTTATTAAGGAAATTATAACATAGGCCACTTGAGTATATAAATTATAGTATATTTGATAAAGTAAAATCTCATTAATTAATATGTTATTAATTCAGCACAATCAATACACATTTTTTAATTTTTAAGGAAGAAACATATCTTTTCTCTTTCTCTAGCTTATGTTTTTTTCAAATATACTGTAAATTAACAATACTAATCAGGATATTAACAGTACTAATCACAAAATATGTGAGAACAGACTTTTTAAAGTACTCAGGAGCATTTTAAAAACTCTTATTTACATCAAATATTGGTTTTCTAATTTAAAATCTTTTGTTCCTATTAATTTAAAAGATCCCTAGGGAAATACACAAGGTGATACTCACTCAACCTTATGTGAGTTACCATGTTATTGAAACTAATAAATCAATGTCTTTTAAAATATTTTATAATTGTGACTTTTTACTAATACATACTGAAGATAATTATTCTGGATTAGCAAGGATTTACTAAATTTGCAAATGTAAATACTTCCGTATATAGGCTACTTTAATCTGCGATAAATTCTTTAAACAATATTGAATACTCACAGCAACAAATTGGTTATTTTCTAATTTAATGATGTCTCCCACTTTGACATTCATCCATTTTTCATTCTGTAGTCTAAAAACAAAAACAAAATTAATTTTTTTCAAGAATGAAGACTCAGAAGTACAACCAAGGGAATGTATTCACAATGTAACATCATATAACAGAGGAAGCAGACGAGACTTTCCTAGTATGTTAGATTCAAAATGGCCTTACATTAACATGAGAACAAAGGCCCAGAGAGGTTAAGTGGTTGCCCAAAGATACCCAGTGAGTTATTGGTACTCCTGGGCTAAACTCAAAATGCTAAACTCTTGGCTGAGCACGCTTTCCACCACCCGCATGGTGCCAGTTTTATGCAGCAGCTATGAAATCTCAATAAATTTTAGTCATCGACATTCTTTTCAAACTCTTTATTAATACAGAAACATCATTGCCATTGCCTCAGAAGTCTATTTAACTGGAGGCAAGAAAGTGAAGGAGACAGTGGCAAGGTAGAGCAACAGCTAAAATGCAACAGGAAAAATATGTTAAAGTCTGGAAAGGACAAGAACAACAAAGCATGATAAAAGAAGCCTTGGAAGACTGAATGAGAAGGACCACCTACAAACCAGCACTGAGGCTGAAGGACAGGCTTGGTGGTATTCTAACAGGACAGCAGCTCAGAATAGAGAACAACACGGTCAACCTACTGCACTGCTTTCTGTGCAGCTCATGTATACGATGGAGCCCCAAGCCCACCCTCCACCCAGTTCAAAGGGGTTTATTATGAAAAGCTATTGTGTCCATTGAATCTGGCCCCTGGTGACAACTTAGTCAGGGCTGCCCAAAATCAGACCGGCCCTCTGGATACAGACCACCTGGGTCAGTATACCATGATGCTAATCATTCCTTCTGAAATTCCCTGAAATGTAAACCAGCTTTGTTTTCTAACTTGGAAGTTTTCATCACATTTCTTTCTCAGAGATTCCCTTCTAAGAGAAAAGGTTGGGATGAGTAGAGCAGGTTTGCCCAACAAGTTGAGGTGGACAGGTTAATTTCATTGTACTTTAAAAAAAAAATTAACCTAATTTACTTGTTTTATAGCCTGGAAAATAGTTTTAAATATTTATTCAACTGTGAAATATGCCTCACACTATCAACTCGGCTGGATCATTTGGCCTAAACACTCAAAGAATTTTTCTTTAATACAGATCCAAGTACATGTTGTTCTGGAAATTTTTCAATTGCAGTATTTTCATCTCTAGCCAGAATTCAATCATTTTTCCAATGCTACACTTTTCTGAACTTTATCTAGTTTGACAACAATAGAAGAACCTAGGAAGCCTTCTAAATCTCGTTTATCTTTACAGGTATGAATTACATGCTGGTTAATTTCTCCTAGAGACACCTCCTCTGGCACCTTAGTGACACTTCTCAGCAAACAGTATCTCAGAAAAAATAGGCATGAGTGGATGGAGAAGGCTATTGTGTCATTTTTGGAAACTGCACTGCTACCAAATTGCCTTGAAGTCTCTATTGAAAGTGCACCTGCCTCAGGAAGAAGTTGAGATGATATTGCATTTTATTTCCAAACTCTTATTTTTCCAACTTGTATAGTACAAGCTCTAGGAAGGATCATACAAGAAACAGTAGGCAGTAGTCCTGGATGTTGACGCTGAGCCTAGCACAATCCAAACTACTTCATCAATAACCTGTACAATGGACAATTGGACACACTTTTCAGATTTGTGGACAGCACCCTAACAAGAAGAAAGCACAGCCCACACAAAGTAAGATCATGATAGGAAAGTGTCTTATGACTTGACAAAGTTATCAGAAACTGAACAAAGAGTAAGAAAAAGAAGTACAAAATAGGTTATTTTAAAGAGGAGAAAGTAACACTCTACAAATGTAACTAGAGTTTACAGAAAAAGAGCCTGGAGATATTGGTAAGCCACAGGCTGTGTGAGATGCCTTGCTTAACCTCTGACTTGAATATATCCCTGTAGAACAATCAGTATGTACAATACAATCAGAGGAGTTTTTATGTTATTCCCTATTCTATCTTATTAAATATTGATATATGTAACTATACTTAACTGGGAACTCAGAGATACATTTAATGAGCACTAAGGGTCATAGCAACAGAAGTACCCAAACTTACTGAATAAGCATAAACTGATAAAGACCTGTAAACGAATTTAAATAATCTATATTTTGAATCCAACCATTTTTCTTGTCCTACCTACAACCACCACCACTGACAACAATATATAAAAAATGTCCCAGCAGCACTGGAGGGGCAGACAAAATTATTTGCTTTAAAACTCATCTTCAGAATATTTCTAGACTTCTAAAATTTTAGCCTGTATGGTGATTGGGTTTTGTCACCAACTTGAAACATGAAAGCAGACACTCCCTGGCTCTACATGTGTGATGCAGCTGTTCTCAGGGTTCGTGTTTAAAGCAATCTTGCACCACAGCTCTTCTAGAGGGACATAGGATGGCCTTTTGGGTTGTGAAGGTGATACTGGCTCCACAGACTCAGCACCTTCAAACTTTGCTTTTGCCGTTGTCAAAAGGTAAAAGCTCCTGTAGATGAATTGCAGTATATGAATATTCTGCAAAGAAAGGAGAAGTTGTAAGATTTTAAAATGTGGCTCAAATTTCAGCATCATATAATTATTTCAGAGTATAAAACTCTGACATAATCTAGTTAATGCATCTTAGAATCAGGTTTTTTTTAAAAATACATATGGGATAATGAGATAGACTTTACCTTAGCAAACTCACAAGCCAATTGCTAAATAAGCCAAAATCCAAGTAAAAAATTCAAAAATTTAAATTCCAAAGGCACCATAAAACATATGGAGTTTAACTGCCACAGAACAGCAACTAGAATTATTTGAAGCAATTTTTTAAAAAATATACCACTATACATCTACTCTCAGAACTCTGAGTTCTAAGAAAAGGAGGTAAGAGATAGCAACTGCAACTAACAATTTTTGATAAACTGGTCTGTACCTGCTTCTTCCTGATGAGGCATAGCAAGGTAAGAGCTGCTAGACTTTGCTGAAAATCTCCTTGAGAAAATGAAAGTCTGAGAGTGAGGCAGCACCTACCATGCTCCATGTCACTAGACCATTGCTTTCAGAAGCTGAAAATCAAGTGTTGACCTTAAGCAACACTTTTGGAAGCAATATTGCAAGTGTATTGCTAAAGCTTAAGAAACAAGAGGGGATTTTCAATGGGTTCATCAAGGTCATCCTTTCCATGTTCTAATGTTCCTGATTTCCCACCAGCAACATGGATTCCTGAAAAGGGGATTTCCTCACAAGCTACAGAAGTGTTGGGGTACTAGAGACAGAAGATAATAAAGGTCAATATAATTGACCTCCCCTAATTAACCAATCAATCCATTTATGCTGAGCTTGGTTTCTTCTTTAATCTCAAGCATATGTCGGCCCTACAACATTCAAAAGTATTCCCTTGCTGATAAACTTTGTTTTGTTCACCACTTCATCCTGAGGACTTCATCCTGAGGACTTCATCCTGAGGACAATGCCTAGTTCACAGCAGGCACTCAGTAAGTATGTAGTGAATGAATGATAAATAAACTAAGGAGTATAGAATCATCATTTCCAAAAACATTTGTTGAATGATAGCATTTGCCTGAATGCCTAAAAAGAATTATAGCATCCAACGTTTATTTAGTGCTTACTGCATTCCAGGGACTGTACTGATCCCTTCATGTATAGGGTGCCAAATAAAATTAATAGCACCTCATTAAATTTGAATTTCAGATAAACAACAAATTATTTTTAGTATATATTCCATGTAATATTTTGGACACATTTATACAAAAACATTATTATTGTTTACCTGAAATCCAAATTTAAATAGAGTCTTATATTTTAATTTGCTACATCTGGCAACACTATTCATGTATCTTATCTCATTTAATCCTCACAACAGTCCTAGAGATAGGTATTGTTTTGACTCCCATTTTATAGAATAGGACACTGAGGTTCATGCAATCTTTGCCTTATTTTGCAGTATCTATCAAAAGTTTAAATAACCACACACTTTGAAAACTGATCCTACAGGTACTCAAATATGAATGTACCAGGATATTTACTGCAGCATTATTTGTAACAGAAATTGATTAGAAGCCATGAAAATGTCCATCAAGAGGAATTAGATAGATGTACCATGAAACACTTATTTAATCATGGTTCATTCACTCAATGGAATATAGTGCAGCCACTGAAAAGAATAAGGTAGGTCTATATGTGCTAATACGAAATATGCTGTTAGTTACATTATTAGGTAATGTAAAAAGAAGTAAGTGCATGTAGGATATATTGTACATGTTTATAGGCATAGAAAATTTCTTGAAACATACACAAGAAACTACTGTGGTTGACAATAGAGAAATAAAATGAAGAGAGAAATTGGGGTGGAAGAGAGACTTCATTTCTATTTTATGCTCTTTTGTACTGTTTAAATTTTTTGGCATTACACATATTAGTATTTTAATGGCCAACTGGAAGGAAGAATAGAAAAAGAAGAAGTAATAGAAGAAAACTTTGCCAAGGTCACATATAAGTGGCAGGTCTAGGACCAGAACCCAAGTTTGTCTGGCTACAAAGCTCATGCTCTTAATAAATCTATATTTATTGTTCCTGTTTACTTTATTTCCCAGAGTAATTATGTATTAGCTATATAGAAAAAGATTGGGCCCTAAGGAGCTGAAAGGACCCAATCACGGCAACAGTGCACACTCCTGGCATTTAAAACCAGTTGATCCAAAGACAGCTTACAATCATGATCCCCTGACACAAACACTTAGTGGACAGCAGCAGTTTCTGGTTCTTTTCAATCCCAGCACCATCAGAGCTGTGCTAGAGGAAAACAGACAGCTTGGCCCTAATCCCCTAATAACAGACTGGTGAACAGGATCTCATTACACTGAGAATGAACATAATGCTCATGTCTTTGGAATCTATTTATTTTAAAGAATGCAGATGTTTCCCCTTTTTCTCCCTTCATTTTAGCAAAATGCTTATGCTGAGGCAAAAATCACACAGGGA